ACTCATCTTGTGAGGTTTTCCCATGCATAACCTACATTCCAGCTCTAGGCTTGTGTGCTTTTGCATGCATTCTTGTCATAATTGTTCCTTCTCTAGCTCATTTTCAACTATCTTTCAGGGCTCAGCTTAGGTACCACCTTTCCCAGAAAGCTTTCCTTGACACTTCTATTTTCCCTTCTACTCTGAGTTAAATGTTCTCATAGCACTGGCAAATGGCTCGGTGACTCTGCCACCGTTCAGCCACCTTGTGGAATCAGGGAATGTGTCTTATATTTTTGTATCTTTATATATAGCCTGAAGCTTAGTGCCTGACAGAGTAGAAAATAAGTGCTAATGCTTCATTTTGCAGATGAAGAATTGAATGCATTTTTAAATTCCCTCCTTAATATTGGTAGTCTGAAAATTATTTTTTACCTACTTTTGTTGGTTAATAATTTGTAATTCTGGGACTGGGGATTTAGCTCAGTGGTTCCATTGCCTGACTTGTAAGCTCAAGGTCTTGAGTTCCATCCCCGGTATTTAAAAAAAAAAAAAAAAAAGATCGAGCCGGGCGTGGTGGTGCGCTTGTAATCCCAGCACTTGGGAGGCTGAGGCAGGAAGATCTCCATCTTCTGTGAGTTCGACACCAGCCTGGGCTACATAGTGAGTTCTAGTCTCAACTACATAGTGCTATATACCTGTCTCAAAAAACAACAACAAAAAAAAATCATAATTCAAGCCATTATGTTTGAAATAAATACTACTTTAATATTTTAGATTTATCCATTGAAAAACAAGTTGATGGCTTTTTAAATATTCATAAATGTGGGCTTAATCTTTCTTGATCACTCTGGTTTTACATTTTCTTAGAGAAAATAGAATCTGATTTAAGAAATTTGGATTAGGCATAGTTTTCAAAAAATAAATTACCAAATATTGAAGTGATTTATAAATAATTAATTTCAAGCATTAAAACGGGTGGGAAAGTGGAGGGTATGAATTGTGAGGTGGTTCACTAATACTGCCTCAAAATAAAAGAGATCTATTTAGAATATGAAACTGTGTTCAGAGACAACTATATTTACAGATACATGCTTAAAGACACTCATGTACTTTTGTAGTTCTGTATGCATTTATATATTTTAAAATTTCAGCTCACATGGAAATAGTGTTACAGGTGTCCTTGCTTTTTATATAACAGCTCTGGTTTTGGTAACTAGAAGAATATATTAAGAATCTCCTTTTCTTGACTTTTAAAAAACTCCTCTTCCTCAGAATGATATCAATAATAGAAAGTCCTGATCATTTTTAAAAATAAGCAGAAAACTGGTGTTCATAAATAAAAAAGACCTACCCAGTGATTTTTTTTTTTAAGCCAGGCAGAACACTGACACAAAACTAACAGTTTTTGAGTGCCATTCTCTTGATTATTTTAATGTAATCCAACATGGCAGTTAGCTGTGCCCAAAATTTAGTTATATGTCTGTGCTTCTCACTATAGATATTCTGCCCTGGCTATATTTGAACAGAACAACTGTAGAATAAGCCAAATTCACCCCCAGAGCTAGTGAACTGAAAAGAGCAAATATACCTTTCTAAGCACCAAATATGTAATCACACTTGTGAATAGAGTTTACTGTTCTCTTTGCTTGTCATTCTGCAGGAATACAGGACAAATTTAGGACAGCTTTACTGAAGGTATTAATGTTAACAGATGTTATAAGGACGGTGCTTAATTTCTAAGCTGCTTACAGTGTAAAAATCTCTTTTGTAATATAAAAGCAGGACTTTACCTGGAGTGGTGATACAGTAGTGCTTTATTTTTTATCGGGGATCAAACTCTGCTGCTTGTGTTTGCAAGGCAGACAGCGGAATGCTTTATCTTTTAAAACACTAGGGGCCAGTGATATAGTTCAGTGGTACTGTGTCTGCCTGGCAAGCACAAGATCCTGAGTTCGATCCCTGGTACTAGGGAGGAAAAAACCAAAAACCTACACTGAATGCTTTTCTTTTCTTTTCTTTTCTTTTCTTTTCTTTTCTTTCTTTTTTGGTACCGGGGATTGAACTCGGGTCCTTGCGCTTGCAAGGCAGGCCACTGAACCGCTGAGCTAAATCCTCGGCCCTCTTTTCTTTCTTTTTGAGACAAGGTCTTGCTGTGTAGCCCAGGCTGACCCCAATTTGTGTGTGTTTGTGTGTTTGTGTACCAGGGATCGAACTTGGGATCTTGTACTTGTGAGGCAGGTGGTAGAACCACTGAGCTAAATCCATAGCCCTGGCTCCAAACTTTTGACAGTCCACCTGCCTCAGCCTCCAGAATGCTGGTATTACAGGCATGTGCCACCACACTCAGTGGAAACACTATGTGCTTTCTTTAAGTGTCTATATCTAGAATTTATTTGGTTTTCGCAGTAATTGTGTGAAGTGGGTGTTCGGATCATATACAAGAGGAAATTTAGGCACAGAAAACTTGACTTGTTGTCAAAAGCATACAGCATTATTTTATGATAGATTATGTTATTTCAATAGCTAACACTTTCTGAGTGCTATGCTAGGCACTGTTTTAAGGGTTTTACTTTCATTAATAACAACTAGGACTTTGTGAAGTCAAATTAGGGTTTAATTTTGATTATTCCTTTGTGATTGCCTTTGGAAAACTAACTTTTTAACTGTTTAAGGCTTTGGCTTGTTCATTTATAGCATGAAAATAAGGGTAGTAGGTATCTCAGAGTAGAGTATTTCTTTGGATTAAACGACAACACAAATGATTGTATATCCAACAGATAGTCAAGGAGCTTTAAAGTCAGTTGCTATAAAAAATAGAGTGGTAATAGATACTATAGTTTCCTAGCTTCATGATAATTTTATTGGTAAAATCATGGCAGGCTTTTTGAGTAGGCATTATACTTGATGCTGTTAAACATACTCATTTTATGGGAAAACATCTGTTACATAACATCAAGTTTATATAGTGAAACTTCATTTGTCGAACTCAGTTCATCCTGAATTTGTATTCAAATATCGAAAAGTTCAAAACTGAACGTGTTTTTCTCATAAGAAATAAACAATTGGTTCTGAGGCCCCAAAATTACATAAGCATTATATGTTGTCTGGGTGATAGCGGCCTTTAGACTGAAGCACCCCTTTGTGTTTGCAGCAAGATGTGATGCCCGACTCACTCTCAGCCCATAAAGGTGTTTTTTGGTTGTTGTGTTCTTTTTGTACTGGGGATTGAACTCAGGACCTTGCGCTTGCTTACAAGGCAGTCAGTGGAATCACTAAGCTAAATTCCCAGCCCGAATGTTTCCTTTTAAATGAGGCACAAGTCTTTTTTAATTCCCAATGCAGTTGACATGCTGGACATTTGAACTGAAAAACCCATAAAAATGAGAAGTCCATAATACTTTAGCATGTTAATAATCAAAGTAATTAAACAATAAACTGAATAAATACTAACTTCTAAAAAGTCAGAGTGTTTTCCAGAAATTCAAATGGGGATTTTCTAATATTTTCAAGAGCTTTATAGTTTGATGTACCAATTTTTTAATATGTTTAACTTCAACTCAAAACTTGACTTTTCCTTGATTTTGAGTTTAAAAATGGATTGATCTCATTTTTCTTAATCTTATTTACTCTCGCTAAACTCATTTCTGGATGGGTATGGGAGAATACACATAAGTAGAATGAAGAAAGGGAGATTTTCCTGTTTAACTGGCTAAAAGCTTTTAGAAAGGAGAGGTGCACAAGGATCACATGGTAGATTTAACAAGCAGTATATATGTTTGAACCTCTGGTGAATAGGGAAGGGAATACTACAGAAGAGGTACTGGGTTGCTCCTGCTCCCTATGTTAAAAGTGTATATAGGAGCAATTCACAAGGAGTGTAAGCAAGCACGTGGCATGCTTATTTTATATATAGGGTATTTGAAGTCCAGAGCTAAAATTGTTCACTGTGGCTGGGCTTGGTGGCACATTTCTGTAATCCTAGCACTTGGGAGGCTGAAGCAAGATGATTGCTGTGAGTTTGAGGTTAGCTGGTGCTACATAGTGAGTTGAAGACCAGCATGAACTATAAAATACATAGCAAGACCCTGTCTCAAAAAACCAAAAAATAAGTAAATAAAGTATTCACTATGCATGGGTACCTGGTAGTGGAAGTATCATTTTGGGTATCAGCCATATTTGTTAGACTAATTCATATGTGGATTGAAGTGAGATTCTTCCTTTAACTCTTCACACAATGCCTGATGCAACTTAGGTGTTCAGTAAATACAGTATTAGTGCCCCTGTTAGAATGAGTTTGAATTTTTCTCTGTGGTGAAGGCTGAACTTGTTGACCAGAAATTTTCCAAAAAATATATTGTAACTTTGGACTTAATGTGTCTCTGTAATGTCACTGTCCTGTGACTTCTTTGGCAGGCTTAGTCTGTTTTCTGATTAAATGACTTCTCTGAACTGGTTCTGAGGGGTCTTGTGAAATAGGAAGATACACAGTATAGATTTTAGAGAGTCAGCTCTTCTGGATGAATGATGGTGAGTGAGGTTTAGAAGAAGTCACTGGGGGTGGAGAATTAGTGTGCCACTGGCTAAAATGGGGCTTTGGAGCTGAAATGGAATCTTGAAGGTGGTTTAGACTAACCTCTCATTTTATGGCTCAGGAGATAAGTATAGAGAAGTGAATTGTCCCATGTCATAGCTGTAGTGGGAGGGCAGAGACATCATAGAATTTAAAGCTACAGCATTTTTACTTTTTGTTTTGAAAAGGAATGGTAACGTGTATAACATTAATTTGAAAAAAATTCTTTTATTAAATGTTTAATGAATTTTTTAGACTTTTGAGTTTCTTTAGGTTAACTGAGCTACAGTGCTATTAGAATTCTCATAAGGAACACCCTCCCAACCGGGGATGGAACTCAAGACCTTGCGCTTGCAAGGCAGATGCATTGCAAATGAACTAAATCCCTGGCCCCTAGGAAAATTACTTTAAAAGAAATAAGTTCTTAACTGTATTCTACTATTTCTAGGTTAACTCGGCAAATAAAGAAAACATGGTACTTTGAAATATGATTAAACTCCTGATGCAGCAGCAGAGGCTAAGAATATTAATGGCTATATGTAGGTAAGTTGAAATTTACCTTAAAAAATAAAAGAACCAAGTGTGGGGATCATGAGTACTGGTTGTAAGTATTGTTAACTCTAGTAACTCCATATGTGTTAAGTTTCTCCAGTTTAGCAGGTAGAGTGTTTCCTTTGTGGAATTCCTGAAAGTTACAGTTTCTTGTCTCTGACCTTTAGATGTGTGGTTGTCCGGGTTACTACTACTCACGGTGGGTTGTTTTGGTGAACCTGTTTGCTCTTTTCCTGTGTGACCTTTCAGTTACTATGGTAAACCCATCCCATAATAGTTTGTGGTTTTTTGCTTTAAAAGGCCGGTGCTTGCCGGCAATAAACGCCGCCTTGATCAGACTCTTGTCTTGGCGTCCTTCCTTTCTCTCTGCCCCATCTCCACCCCGCTGCTCTTTCAGGTTTGAGACACTGCTGGACAGTGCTCTGCGTCGCAGGCTCGCGACAACCAAGTAAGTCTGCAACTAGAGAATTCAAAAATTTTTTGAATGCAACCATTTTCCCTCTTGGTTTGCTGACTTTCCTATCCCCAAAGAACAAGGTTTCTTTGTTTTTTGGTACCAGAGATCAAATCAAGTCCCTGGCCTTGCAAGGTAGACAGCGGCACCACTGAGCTAAATCCCCAGCCCTATTCCCCAAAGAATAGGGACAAAAGAATTAAACTAAGACAATGTTTACTAATTTAAAGTATTCATCATGCTTGTTATAATATTGATTTTCCCAGGTAGAAGTTACCTTTGTTTTTGAATGTACCCTGGCTGCTCTCTTGAGGGAGTATAATAAGACCATTTTTTGTTTTTGCTGACTTATAGGCTTGGAAAGGAGAATATGCTGATGAGATCACACGGTTTTTCATGGAATATTTACAATACTAGTGTATATTATTATGTCACACATAACTCAGATGTGGTTTCCAAATATTAATGTGGTCATCATAATTCAGACTGTCTAGTATCTAATCTTTCCTTTTGCCCCTAGGAGTTTGTGGTTCAGGAAGAGTGGATGAAAATTCCACATTAAAAAAGTCGCTTTCCAGAAGTTGGAAAATGGAGTAGTACAACTGTTTGTGTTCTAGCATTTTAGTCCTTCGTTCATGCAAAACCTATAAACCTGTTCTTTTCTTTCTTTCTTTTTTTTTGGGGGGGGGTCTTCATTTACTTTTCTTTTATTAGCCCTATTCTTTCTCTGCCTCTTTCCTCCTCAGGTCTGATGGTCCATCACTTCAGACTCCTGCGTGGCCCACAGTGTTTAATTTTGTTGCCATCTACCCGCTGACCGTGAGTCAGTTGAACCACCTACCCTCTGGACTGCTTAGCTCAGCTAGCAAACTGCATCTTCTGCTGAGCTCTCTCATTCCAGTAGACTTGTCCTGCTTGCTTGTCTTACATAGCTCCTTGATAAATAATCCTACCAGTTTCCTCAAATCCTTCATTCCACAAGTGTTGCCTTCTATTTTACCTGGGAAAATTATTTAGGACCATAGAAATTACCTACTTCAGCTTGTCTCTGTACGCATCCTTCTTTCCTCTTTCTTTTCCTTAGAGGATGAGGCATTCCTCTAGCTCTGGGTAGACCTCTCAGTCAGGGCCCTGGAACTCATCTTTCGTTTTCTCCCACATCTTGATCCACCACTTAACTCTTCTCTTTCCTTTGCTTTTTTCTACATTTCTAACCTTTTCTGACCTACTGATGATAATTTATATAATCTTAAAACAGTAAATAACTCAAACACATATTTTCTTTTGAACTTGCACCTATCCAAACTCTAGCACTTAACTATTTTCTCAGTTTTTGAAAGAACAGTTTCCATCCTCTGAGGACAGCTTCCTCACCTTCTAGGTGCTCTCTGCAGTTTGGCATCCATCTCTTCCAGTCTACCTGGATGGTGCCCTCCTGAATGATGTTCTCTTTAGTTTGTACTGTTCTGATCTCTTTTTTATCTCCTTCGTTGGCTTCCATCAACTCCTGTACTCGAGCTCATTTGTATTTCCTCAGAATTTCAGCCACAGACCTGTTTTCATAGTGTCCTTGAGCAGTGCCTTTTCTTTCATAGTTGCTCTTTCTTTCTTTTCTATGAAACTCATACTTTGCATACTTAAGTCTTCTTTGCTTTTTTTTTTTTTTTTTTTTTTTTTTTTTTTTTTTTTTTTTTTTTTGGTACTAGGAATCGATCTTGGGACCTTGTGCGAGGCAGGTGGCGGAACCACTAAGCTAAATCCCCAGACCCAACTCTTCTTTGATTACCTCTACCTGATGGGTTGTTAGGAATCTCAGCTTAGCACATCTAAAACTAAGTGAACCATGGTCACTTCCACTTGAAGACTACCAGTATCTCAGGTCAGGGAAACAGCATCCTTCATTTGCCACACCAGAAAAAGTCTCTTCCTTCCATTATATCAAGCCACCCACTTCAGGCTGCTTTTTTAAAATAGCTCTTAAATTTATCCCTTTTTCATTTCTACTATTGTTTCTCTGGGGTTCAACTTTATCGTTTTTTTTTGGCTAGTTTCTAACTGATTTCCTTTCCTCTGAGCTGAACGCCTTACTTAAATATATCCCATAGGTAGATGATTTTTTGGTACTGGAGATCAAACTTGGGTCCTTGCGCTTGCGAGGCAGGCAGCAGCACCACTGAGCTAAATCCCCAGCCCCAGTAGATGAATTTTAAATGCACATCTGACCACCTCAGTTTCCTACTTAAAATAGATCACTGGCTTCCCACATGTAAGATAAAATCCTTTCTTCTTGGCATGGCATATATTGCTTTTTTGTCACATATTAGATGCTTCATTAATTATTGTACTGAACAAACATTCAGTGTTGATTTAGTCCCCACATAGGTCTCTCCACACCCACATGTCCCTGCCAACCACCCACATGGGAAGTTCTGCTGTAACAGATCATCTGTGAAGGTAGCAAGTAGAAAGATGATTTTTCTTTTTTTCCCTCCTTTGAACCC